ACGATTTTGACCCTCTATTTAAAAAATTTATAAAAAATTCAAAATTGGAGCTGGAACTCTTATTGTTACGCAGTTCGACAGAGCACCTTAAGTGACATATACCCACAAGTTATAATGAAAATTGAACTAACGGTGTCTGAGAAAAATTAACAGTTTTCAATATAGTGCAGTTTGAGTCCTTAAAGTAATTTTGTGAAACTTATGCACGCATTTCAAAAACAACGAAGCATTTTGAAGAAACATTTTCGCTCGCAAAGTTGTTCAGGATAATGCTCTTCATACACTAAGCGGAGCACTTTTTTCATTTTAGTGGGAAAATTTTGAAATTACTTAAAATGTGTGTAAATTGTATTTCTTTCAAAATTTTCCCACTAAAATGAAAAAAGTGCTTCGCTTAGGTGTGCATAAGTTCGTGTACCAGGTAATGAAAAAGTCGAATTTCCATGCATGAGCGATTTCACCTAATATAGGTTTTCACTAGGTTTTTGAATTTTTTTCGAAAAACGAACATTACCACGAGACTCAGCGTGATGAATAACCCATGTTTCCATTCATAGAGATTACCACACCTAAGGAAATATCTATCCTGGGGCTTCGAGAAAATCCGATGGCGCTCCTGAACCACGGAAGATTAAGAAGTCGCTTAGTTCCCATTTTGTAGAGAACATTTTACGCTAACATATCTATATGAGAAATGCAGGAGGCACTCTGGCAGATCTTGGAATTACGACCTACTCTTTCATAGACTAATAAGGTATACTACCTGCAGGTGGTCTTTCTAAGATATTTTTATATCAACTTGTAGCTAATTACCTTCTCTATGCAATGCTGAAAACCGCAAGTCTTCGAAGTGCACTGTTCAAAAGTTATTAAAGAAATAACCACTGGCATTCGTTTTTAATATTATATGGACTGTTAATTAATATAACAGTCCATATATGAAAAAAACTTGAAAAAACCCCACATCCATGACAAATTAAAAAACCAAATACAGGATTTTGTAGCGCTTGAGCAGCTGATTCGAATGATGTATTGTTCGTTATATTTGAGCAAAAGAGGTTGAAGAAAAAAAGAATGCAAACGACCAGACTACACTGAACTGGCATCGGTTTCACAGAAAAAATTTATAAATAGTCTATTAGGTACATATTTTTTCTTTCTTTTTTACATACATAATAACTATGAATAATTGTGCTTCTAAACATACTTGAATCACATTCTTGTCATTATCCCTCAATGACTTATGAAATATCGAAAGTCAGCCACTAGACGGAAAATTTTGACCAAAGCCCAACGTTAAAAAATTCATAATTCCATCAATATTCATAGGACCGCCGAAATTTCTTCAGGATACATAGTACTCAACGCACTCTACAAACTGGCATAATTTGAGGGCAGGTTTGTAGGTGGTTACCCCCCCCCCTTAACTGGGAGGACTGATGGGACCAGATTTTTTAATTAGGCCTTTGTTCGTTCTCTACAGACGCAAGATCTTAAAAACCCTGAATGATTCTTTCAAGTTTCCCAAAGTTCCTTTTTTCCCAAGGAACTAAGGCCTACTTACTTGCAATTTTAATTAATTTAAATGCCTGCAATTTTTGAACACAAGATCATACAGAGTTGTGCACGTCTTATTTTGATCAAAAAGTCTGCTCTACAAATCTATATGTTCAGAAAAAATTTATTTGCTTAAGTGTCCAGAAAAAAATTGTTATTTGAAGATCCTGGTTTTCAAGGCTCCTGGAAAACTTGCTCGAAAACCACGAAAAATCAATTATAAGGCCCGAAAGCGATACAGATTCTGAAAGTAGACACTCCGGGCTATCTATCCATGTGCTTGTCTCCAAATTGATTTTTTTGATACCAAAAGATTTCATTCTGAAGGGCCTTTAAGAATAAAATAGCAAAAAAGAAAATAAATAAAACGAATTATTAGAACAGGGTTGGTAAGAGCTCCCTTATACCGCCCTAGTGCTGGATAACCGCCAGACTAGGAAGTAGGGGTTACTGGTACTCATACTATCCTCCTCTTTTTCGCAAAAGACTTTCCATTTTGAGCTAAACATAGTCTAATGTAGAGGAAAGTCTGGGCTGTAAAATAAGAACGCTCTCAGCTCGCCACTACCTTCCTTCCTTGAAAAAAGTATGCAGTTTTTAAGTTCGATCGGACCATTTTTTCGAGGGGTCGTAATGTGACTGGATGAAAACTAGAGCTTCCCCAGTTTTCCAGAGGGTCAGAAAGGGAGTGGGGACAATACCCTTAATTTATCCTTCAATTAAAATGAATTACGTAAACAATTCTATTTGCAAATAGCAAAAAAAAGGTTACAGCTTCACGTTTTAAAACTAGATACGTGGAGTGATTAATTTGGGTTTTTATTTTTTACATCAATTGTCGATTCGAAATACGTTCATTTTTTTCACAGATTTGTATCGATACACTTTGATTATATATGAGAACTATGTATCCTTCTATTAACATGTATATTTCGACTTTGCATTTGTGACATCTGCTACAGGTGGTCTACCTGATGGGTAAAAAAACGCAAGATTTTTATTCTATGAAAAAAAGTTAAATTTTTTTCAAGATGTACTCTATTTTATATACAATATAACTTGAAATCCGATAAAAGTGATTTTTGATTATTCTAAGTGTACATTTATTTTAAGCATATAAAATGGAGTTTAAAGTTTTTGTTCAAAAATTTTTCAAAAAATATTACACTCTATTAGACGTTGAAAAGGAGCATGTATTATCCAAACGTTAAAAACTTTCGGAATATGGATGTTGCAAAAAGCAATGGATTCAGAAAAAGTCATTTTTAATTGATATACTAAGTTTAAAGTAATTTGTACGAGATTAGCAAGTTTTCTGATATATAGAATTAATAAAATTTAATGTTCGATGATCCACGTATTGTCGTTAACAAATTGAGTATATTTTGTTAAATTTAACATCAATTACATGACCGGTTTTGGATCAAGATATTTTCTAAAGATATGAGACGTCTCATAAGCGGTGGTTTCATTGTGTAAATTTCGTTTTCTGAATGGGAAATCTGAATTTAACAGTTCACGCCGTAATATCGCCCTTTCCTCGGGGTCCTTTCGGCCATATGACGAAAATACACTTCAGTTTTTATGGTTTATTTCACCGTCGTCTTGAACCATCACTAGATCGCGAGTTTCTCACGATCGCGCCGTTACATTACGAGAGTATAGCAAAACGTCTTGATTTTCAGTCGTGTACGAAGTCTTTTGATATATATCATTTTTTTCAAAATAAGATTTCATTATGAGCACAAGTTATTGTGATCCTCTCGCTAATGTAAGAATGTCGATAGAATCGAGCGCGTAGCGACTCGCGTGAGTTAATAGCAACCGCTATAGCGACGAAGAAATCACGCCATGATTCCAACGTGACAGTTGGCTTGGGAAATGTTGACAAAAATGGCCATCGAACAATTAGCGTTAAAATTATATTATAAATAAACAAAACTTATTAAATTAAGAGTAGTTTTTGTAAAATTTGAGAACAAAGTGTAGCCCTTCTATATATATATTTTTCTAGCAGTCTGTATAGATTGCCTTGTGAATCCTTTGTGACCAAAAAGAGAAGGCATTTAACTACGGAAATACTAACAATGAACAAAAATCGTATAAAATAGCGGAAAACATCGAGCGGATGAAATTAAAGAATTAAAAATCTTAAAATATATGTCTTATGATAAAAATCAATTGTTTTTACGATTTGTATTTAATAGTGACCTTTTCACTGTTTAAGAAATTCAAAAGTACGTGTATCTCTATCATCTATGTCAATGAAAATCCAGCCAATTTTACTAAAGAAACATAATTTTAACATTTATAGAAATTAAAAATCGTGTATAAATTTGATAATCAAACTAGTTTTCCTGTTGCTGCGAAATGATGCAAAGAAAATGTGACCATACATTGAAATGGATCAGGAGGTGGTAAAACGTCATCACCTTGTTCACTTGCTACAACAAAAAAGAGACAATTGAACCGTTACATAACATTCTTTTTTTAAGATGAACTTACACAGTGATTTAATCGTTTTTGCTTTTCCTTTTGGACTGGGACTTCGTTTTGGTTTTTTGCCAGATTGTTCACGACCTTTATCTAAATGGAAAGATAATCAACATAATGATACGAAACTAAACATTTCTAGTGTAAAAAATAGACGATGATCTGTCACGATATAATGTTCTGTACAAGAATATGTGGTTAATTAGTTTTTCACAGATCTATTAGAGCTGATACCTGTACAATAATTATATTTGAAGAAATTAAGCTTGACTCGTAATTCGAATTTCAAACACTATTTTCCGTCCTATTTATACATCATTCGATAGAGCTCGGTGAGTTGATCAAGACTAACTAACGTTTTAACTTTTCAAACATGAGTTTTGACTTTTGCTTAGGTGAAGCAATCCTACTAGGATCCTATAGGATCTTACTGGTAATAGAATTTTTAGGATTCCTTTTGAAAGATCCTGTGAAAACCTACGTCAGGAATTCCGTAGGATTCTTGATATAGAACGGTAGCAAAAATCCTATAGAATTTCTATAATAGGAATTTTATGCATTTCTTATAAAATCCTACGGTAAGATTTTGTGTACGATTCTGATTTTTTCGTTCTGTATATATTTTCTTTTCTTTTTCTATATGAGAACATCCCAGGTGATTCAATTGTACTATCCGATCGTACAAAATCCTATACGAATCGTAAGAAATCATATACGATTATGTACGATTTATATACGAATCGTGGTATCTGATTTGCCATCCGGTTTGTACTATACGATTTCATACAAAGTTGTATGATCGTATACAATGTAGTACGATCGTATTATACGACCCAGAAGACAAACCAGATACCACGATTCATATATGATTTTCATACGAGTTGATACGATTTTATCTGATTCAGATACGATTTGTTTGACCTGGGATAATCATCAACGTGTTTTGCAGTAACTCTGATATAAATACAACTCTCTCTGTAGAAAATGAAAAATTCTTTTAGGCTTAAATTTTCGCATCGAATACTGTGAGCCATTGAAACTCGCTACTGGTCGATGGCGTGTGAGCCAGTACTCACTAGTCTTGGGCTTATCCCAGCTCAGAATCACTTGATTCTGGCTAGCTAGGATCAGAGAATAACTAAACAAATAAAACAATAAACCTAGTAGGATAAACTAGCAGAAAATCAGATAAAATTCTACTGTAATCCTGCAATAGGATTTTGCAAGATTCAACGAGATCTGGCTACAGGATCCTATAAGAATCATACAGTACGAATTTTTGACTTTGACGTTTTTCTACAAAGCCTCACAAGATTTTCGTAAAATCTTACAGAATCCTACGATATGATTGTTTGATCTGAGTAATTTTCATTTTTGATGAAGATCTCGATAATTTTTCAACGTGAAAATTCGACAAAAACTAAAGTAGTTCGACAGGATAGAAATACACATTAGTCGACTCAGTTTTGATCCCGATTCCGAATATGGTATTCTTATTGCATAAAAGTTGAGTTCTGATGGAGAAAATTGAGAATTATAAGCAGAATTCTGACTTTTCGCCTCTGATTTGGAAAAAATGAACTTTTTCAGCAACAGAAAAGAATTAAAAAAAGGGCTTTATACTTTTGTTACCAGTGAAAAGGAGAATCGAATGTGGTGTAAATCAAGGTTCCATGTCTTACCAGAAAAAAACTAGATAGGCTTACGTACCTGAAGCTTTTTCCTGTTTCTTATTTTTTCCTAAAGGTGGTTGCGTAGTCATATTTGTCTAGATAGAAAAACATAGTCCTTGTATGTTTAGCATCAACAATAATCTGTTGGTACTTACTTGTTGTTCATATTGTTCTTTTAATATTTCTTTAAAAGTTTTTGTTGCAGTAAATTCTCCTTCTAACAATGGTTTTAAATCAATATGAAATGTTGCTAAGGTTATTACTTTTGGAGAATGGGCAACCAAATTAGATAAATCAGCAGGCTTCTTTTTACCCTTCGCGTCTTTTTTAGACTAGAATTGAATTCAAATTTGTCCACTGTTAACAAAATATTTGAGTTTTTTATTTTTACACACGTCTTTTTGTTCTTTCTGTTTCTTGTCTCCTCCTTTTGCGTGATCCGATCCATCTTTCTTTTTTCCCGATGAATGTGAACGTTTTGAATTTGGAGATTTTTTTCGATGTTTTCCTTTATCATCCGTTTCACTGTCTGATTCATCTGGTGGATAATATTCAGTCTAAACATGTCATGTTAGATATTTAAAGGTACTCAATATTAGACATATCACACTTCTAACCATTTCATAAACAAAATCACATTGTGCTCCATGAAAAAAATAATCTCGTAGTTGAATTAATTTTGAAATAGTCAATTTAAATTCAGAATTTGTCGGTCCAAAATCTAAATCATTTTTCCAATCCAATGAAGCAGTTTTTAATACATCTGATTCAAAATTATGATAGTTCGAAAATTTGTCAAATGGCATATCCACATCTGAAAAAAAACATTTTTAATAGTTAAATATTCAACGAAAACAAACAACACAGAAGGCTTGGGCAACAATTTGTTTCGAGTAACGTCAGAAAACTTGTTCAATTTTTGTTCCTCAGCTGAGCAAAAGATCAGAAGATGGTCGTACTTGAACAACCCAAGTATATTCAATGGCCAAAAAAGTTTAATGATCAGGTAATATCCAAGTCAGATAGCGAATAGTCGCTAAAAATAACGAAAATTTATGCTTATCTGTAGGACAGAACACCCAAATCAAACATGTCTACAAATTTCTGTAACAGATCTGCATAGAAATTCTGTGCAGATCTGTTGCAGAAATATCCCTTGGACATGCCAGTTTGTTCTCGAAACAACAATAACTTTAAGGTAAAGTTGTATTTATTCAATGGAACATTTAAACTTGATTAACATTGTTAAGATGAGTTTGATGAGGAGTAAATGGTGACAGGGGACTGCCTGACTAAATATTGAATACGTTTAGATACTTCAGTTGCTACCGTGCCTTATGATCTTTTGTTCATTTAGCCTTTTAAATAATTTGTGCTCATTTTTAATGCTTATTTGTCTGTCAGTCAAAAACATATGATATAGCGCGATCATTCAGGTCATACCATTGTTATTATCATCTTCTGCTGATAATTGATCAGTTTTAAACCATGAAATTTTGACATAGTATTTATGTGTTTTAACCGGTACCTCTGATTGAGTTTCGGGATGCTAAATGACACAATCATTGGTATTAATTATAACTTTGAATAGATAGGTACTTACTTGCAATTCAACTGGCATTGGAACATTCTTGATATTGTTGATTTTGATAGTTAATGATGCTTCCTGAATGTTTGAAGCTAAATTTTAGTTTTGAAATGAAAGTAATAATAAACGTTAAAGAGAGAGACTAGAAATTTACTTATGGACTGAGCAAATGATCTATAACGAAATCTTTCCTCAGCTGTAATTGTCACATCATCAAATACGGACAAATGTTGGAAACTGTCGATGATATAGGCACGATAAAATGGAATCAACTAGAAAAGAAAATACCGTATAATAATCTTAAGAGAAAGTAAAATTCTTAACACTGACACATATAGGATTGCCTTGTAGATATAGTATTCTTAATTTTAATAACTGCTTTAACGGCTGTACAACACAAAATATATCCGATAATAAATTGTAACTCAAATCTAATGAACATAAATTCAGCCTAAATGCATATAGAATCAATAATATAAATGAGGAGGTCTATCAGCTATAGACGTTAATTACAAGATTTTAAGTCTCTCATACGTATTAGCTACAGATGGCTTTTGTATTTTTCTAACGAGCCTTAAACCTCCTAAAATTTCTCAACTCACTTCCCGTTTCACTTTCATTGTGTGTAGTATCGATTCTTACTCATTTACCATTTTTCTTGAGTAAATATTTGTTGAATATCTCCAATTTCATTCCATCCAACTCCAATATGCTGTAGAGTTTTAATACAATTACCGCCACATATTATCAATGGCTCTAAATCTGAGATAAAATTTGCTCCCAATTCTAAATACTAGAGGGACACTTATTCAATGAAGTAAACTTTGAATCACTCTAATCCTACCTCTAGCTCATCTGGAAATCGTTTACATACAATATTATGAATATCATTTCCAGTTAGTACCACTGATTTCAAATAATTTCGAGATCGAAGCGGACCAAATAAATTGGAAATCTAAACAATCATTTGTCTTTGGTAATTGTATTTATTTTGCTTTATGAGTATAAATATATACCCTTTCATCAATCTTTCTAATTATGTCGTTGTTTTGCAGATGACGAGATTTTTCTAATAGCGTCTAAAAGATGAAAAAATGAATTAAATATGATAGGGTAGAAAAAAATAACGAAACGAACTTTCAGATCTTCTTGTACTCCTTCAATTGAATGAATATCTTCCTTTAATTGACGAACTTCTTCAACAAGTACTTCTTCACCTAAAACAAGGATAAACCATCATTGGATTAAGTGAACTTTTTTTTAAACAACAACGTAAAATCGATTAGTAAGATTATTTTAGCTCATATGCGTTGACCATCTGTATTACCTTCAACTTCATCAGAGAATACTTCGTTCATCGGCATAGCTTATTTCAAAAAATAACTGTACCGATCGTAATTGTTCGTTATCATCCCCCATTCTCGTCACCATTTTTATATGTGTCACTCTGACAATACCACTAGAAATGGATAAGAAATTATGAATGCAGTGCATTGTATAATTTCCAGATAGATTTTGCTATAGTTATCTATCTTTACAACGAAGAACAAGATGACTTTAAAACTAAATTAAATCTTATTATATAGTACATCTATGCATTTGATGTTGTATTCCCATTCATGTGTTGCTATAGGAACGATAATCGATGATGGCAGAACATTTTGTTCATCAGCGTACGAAGATTAAACTAATAATCTCATTGAAAATCTCTTAACGATGACCACTGACCTGTATTTTACCCATAATAATATGGGTAAAAGTGATGTATGTATCATGTTTTCTATTGAATTCTTGTGAGATTTTAAATGTTTCGTAACTTTATCGATGTGTGCGTTATTGGATGACCGATGAGCAGTTTCGAATGTAGTATTGAGTGGTCAATGACAGAAGTCATATTTTTAACGTTCATCGGATAACTAACTCTTCATTTATCAGACTGTTAATGTTTGAACTAAACATCGGCTTGCTTCAGAGCACGATAGAATGAAAAACTCGTTGAGAATATCGACAAAAATTCATTCTTATGAAGAGAAAATAGCCATTATCTAAGAATGGTAGGTTTTTTTTCTATATCTACATCAATTTGTTAACCACACAAGACCTCGTGTAGTTTGTCACTAATGGAAACTGCAACTTGGATCGAAATACAGTTTTTTTTAATCCGTTTTCTATTTAATGCTATCTTTTTATTTTGTTTTACTATAGTTCGAAGACGATTCGTTTTTATCCGAATTTAACGAAAATATGATGCCAGCTTTGACATTCACGAATGAAGACGGTGAGGGGGGAAAATTATCGGCGATTGGTAGTTTTAATTTAGATGAACTAAAACGAACATTAGAACATGAAAGAGGTAAACTCCTATAAAGATGTTTGTTTTTGTTGAATATCGATGTGTTGTTTATTTTTAGAGAAAAATGTCGAATTGATTACAAAAATAGAAGAATTAGAAAGTCAAAGTTTAAAAGATATGAGTCAAAGAAATAAAGAAGTATGTTAAAATTCAAGAGATTACTTTATCTTGTTTCTTCAAACAGCTTACTTTAGTTTGTCGTTTATTGTTTAGTTCAATCATCTTCAATCACAATTAACCAAATATCGATGTGATTTTGAGAAAAGTGAAATGTTACGTCAAACATTGGAATATGAGTTGACTGTGATGCGTAGTCAATGTGGAAAAGAATCATTTAAATATGAAGAATTAGAACAAATATTAGAAAAAACTAAAAAATTATTTTCAGGTACATTTGTAGTATTAGTTAGAGTAAAGTTTATTAATACTCTTCTTTACAGATAAATTGAATGAAATGAACGGTGAAATCGATCGTCTACGAACCGAATTAACGTCAACAGTACAAAAATATGAATATGAATCTCAAAGATTGGGCAATGATCTCAAGGAAAAAGTAAATTGATTTTCTGATCTTTAGTATCCCAGCCATCTTTAGCGTCGAAGCTTTTTCGACAAAAAAATATGCTTTTCATTATATCAATCCTTTTGGGGTCTTATCACTTTATGATAAGTAACATGTTATTTTATCTAGGATGAACGAATCTACAAACTTCAAGCAACAGCTGATACGCACTATGAACGTGAACGGTGAGTTTAATTATTCTGTCTTTACTATATGTTTAAAAAAATGAATCTTGTTGTTTTAGACGAATAATAACATTAAACGAACAAATTGAACGATTAGAAAGTATGAGATGAGAGAATATAAAAGAGAATATAATTTTATATTATTTAATTAATTTTTTTCTTAGAAACATTTGCTGAATCGGAACAAATTTCTCGAAAATATTTGGCTGATGCCGTACAAGCAAAAGATAAAGAAATTGATATGAAAAGAGAATATGATGTATGAATTAAATGTTGAAGTCAACTTAAAATATCTTATCAATATCATATTTTTTATTTTATTTCAATGATAGATATTGTTTATGAAACTTCAATTTTACGAACAAACACTTGACAATGAACGAACAATAGCTAATGAAGCAAAACTAACAGCAGAATTGATGAGTGTATGTAGAATGAGTATTTATCATTCTAAATTATAGATTTTAATCGTTAATTGTCGTTTTTTAGAGTCGTGTAAAAGATTTGGATACGACTGTTGAGTTGATGAAACAGGCAAAGATGAATGATGAACACAAAATCGAACAATTACAAAAACAGATTAGGTAGAAAATGAAGGAAAGAGATGAAAGAAAATTTAGTTTAAATAATTTTTGTTTAGTAATGAAAAATTATTACGTACAACTTTGAATCATTTACAAAAAGATTTAGAAGAAAAATGTTTAGAAATGAATATTGCAGAACAAAGTTATGAAAAAACTATAAAATCGTTAAGAGATGAACTGGCGAATGTTAGTTTATGCATGTTTATTGACAAAAAATGTACATAAAGTTGTATAATTTATCTTCATTTGTTTATAGTGTCGTCGTAAAGTACGATTAACCGAAGATAAACATTCGTATTGTAATGCAAAAGTGGTTGATTTATTAAAATTCTGTAAAATAATTTCAGATACACCAGGTATGAATGCTGACTTTAGAAAAACTTATAAATATTTCTTTATCTTATTTTCTTTAGATCAGAATAATAGTACCACTACTTTTGTTCCATCATCAAAACAATTAGAAGATTTAAGATTGTATGTGGATAATTTGAGAAAAAGTTCAAACGAAAAAGTCAATGAGGTATGATACCTAGAAGGAAAACATAAACTGTATGTGATAGGAGAAAACTGTGAATATATGAAGAAGATAATGATCAAATATATATTGTTTGAGAACCAGTTTAAAACCGCTGTTCTCATTTTAACATTTGAGAATTATTTTCTACACTAGAGGAAATAATAACGTTTAAGTCATTTATATTTAGATCGCTCGTTTAAAAAAGTCGGTTGAACGTTTAACAAAGTCATCAATAAGTCAACATCGAACACAATTAGAACATGTTCAAAGTAAAGAGGTATAATATATTTTTTATGTGTATTATTGTACCGTATCTACTATTCTTCTTGTGTATGTAGGATGTATTAAATCAAATGTTGGCTATTAAGGATGAACTTGAATCGTGTAAATATGATAAAGTAATGTTAGAAGAGTTACTGATGGTCACTAAAACCGAATTACAACAGTTAGACAAACAATATCAACAATTATATCAACAAAATTTAGAAATGAAAATGTTCATACAACAAAAATTAAATGACTCGAATAAAACACAAGGAGAAGTGGTTAGTTGAGAGAGCATTAAAATTTTTTTATTATAACTTTTTTCCAATGTGCTTACTATTTCATATGAGAGTCTTTTTTGTTTTTAGGTGAATTTATCTCTCTTGGAATCGATTCACGATCGCTTACAAATGGCAATTCGTTCGTCTTCACATGATACTAATAATACTAATGGTCAACAATTAGTTATACATCAGAATAATGATCTGTGTTCAGTGGTCAATGATGAATTGAAAATTATTCTTAGTCGTTATGAGTCTCTCATGAATTCTAGTCAACAATTAGAACAACAACTAAATACACGAGAAACAGAATATAATAGATTACAACAGACAATGGAAGAACAATTATTGGGTTTAAAAACAGACATCAGTCAACGAGATGAAAAATTTAGTAAACAAAAAGAAATGTTAATTACACACTATGAAATGACTATGCAAGAATTACAGACAAATTTGAAAGTAATTATCAAATATTGAAAAATAATGTTGAAAAAAAGTATTATTGATATTAATCTATCTTTCTTTTAGAATGCTGAGCTAAAATCTCTTGAATCTCTTCATCGAAATCAATTATTGGAATCGGAACATTTGGAAAAAAAGCGTAGCTACGAGAAATCTCAATCGGTTATCGATGAGAAAGATAGTGAAATGAAACAGTTTAAATTATTATCGACATTTCTAGTTGGTCTCATTTATCCATTGAAACAACGTTATACACTTTTGATTCGACAAATGCATATATTAAAACAATTCTATGCAAATTATCAAGAAGTAAAACAATCAATTATTCAATCTTCAAACACAATTCCTAAAATACCTCCAATTCTTCGATTTCGAAAATATGCTATTGCAATTATTGCTTATAATCGATTGTTATTGTCGTCGAAGAAAAAAAAATTTCTTTTAATTAATGATGAACAATATTATCATGGAAAAACACGATTAAATTATGTCTACAGATTGCCAAATTCTAAACAGAATCGTAAGTTGAGCAGTTCTATTTTCTGGACTACAAGTTAAGGCTCTTATGATCTATAATGTCTGTCATACGTCTCGACTACGGCACATTTTTGACGATGTCATTGTTTTCATGAGTTTGCCTTTTGAATTATATTATCTCTTGTTAGTATCGACTTTGAACTCCATTGTCTCGTATAGTTTTCTTCTGTTATTTGCTTATTATTTATTGTTATTGTTGGACGTCAATATCGCTAGTATCGAAAGACAGTTGATGATATATGGAATTCGTTTGAACGACTTTATGGAGTTACTTCTCGGTCTTACAAATGAGTAGTTGCACAATGATACTCTCTATAGATAAGATTATCAAAGAATTATCTGTCTCGTATTTGTTATAAGCAGAACGTGCTGAGTTCTCTGCTAAAAAAAAATGGACAGTTAAGAGACTAGTGTGTCAGTATGACAAACATAACTTGTATGTAGTACTGTAATAATTTATACAATATGATGGACGGGTATATAGCTCAAAATGCTTAAAACATCTTGTGTTTCTGGTGGATACATATATATGTATAGATATATTGTTTTAGTTCACTACGCTGATTGTGATACTCTTTCTCAAGAGCCATCGAGTTTTTTGAACGATGAAAAATTTGATTATTTAAAAGAAGCTATTGAACATTTTCAAATCAGTCCAAATAAGACAAAATCAACTGGTAAGCTTGTCAATGCACAAGAATCAATCCATTTTAGATGTAAATCTAATCTATTTCATTTAGGTCAATTTCAACAGCGTGCATTAAAATCGTCATTAATGTCTCTGCTGTGTAAATTAGATGGTCTCTATGATGATGATGATGGAGAACTGAACGGCAGCAGCAACAATAGGTATAAAAATACTTGACAAGATGCACACTAATCTATAGTTTAATTATACCCTTTGTTCTTCAGTAATTCCAGAAGTGTATCAATAATTCAGCTTATTAGTAGAGGGTTAGGAAAACATATAAACGGAACTAAATCAAAAGTAAGATTTTATCGTTGCTTTTTCTCTCTTCTTGGTGGTGTTTAGTATTTTTTGCTTTTTTTAGGGTTCATGTGTGTCTGTACAAGATCTTGTGCAGGATTTAACACTTCGTACCAGAGAATCAGGTATATTTCTAAACACAACCTAAGAAAAAGTTTCCTCCACTCGATATAGGTATTTATATCGTTGTTAACTGAGATATTGTTGTTCATATTTGTTAGATGCCGATAATAAATTATTAAAATTACAACTTCATTCGTGTTCTCGTGATAGTGATGAATTAAAACAATGTCGATTAACAGTTAAAAAATTAGAAAAACAAGTAAAATCAAATCAAAAACAGGTTGATTGGGACAATTTGTTTTTATATACTTAATAAACCTTCTCTCTTTTCATTTGGAGAACGAATCGATGATTCCATTTGAACAGTTTGAAGCCATTTACAAAGAACTAGAATCTGCTTTGTCTCGTGAGAAACAAGCACAATCCATATTAAATGAACAAAATCAACAATTACAACAAATAACAGACATTCTAAATGACACTCAAACAGCGCGAGATCAATCGGTTAGAGAAGTAAGTTTAAAACAAAAGTCTCTAATTTATAGAAATAACCATTTTCTCATGTTGATAGTTGACTAATAAAGAACAAATTATTTCCAGTTTAAAACAGCGTGCCCATGATCTACAACAAATAAACTTGCAAATGGATGCCAACTTACAAAGAGCAGAAAATGCTATAAGACTAGTTTTTAAGTAAGAGTATATAAACGCTTACATAGTTTTATTAACTTATCTCATCTGTATGAGTTAAGTAGTTAAGATGACTACTGTTAAATTTTTCGTTTACTCACGGTTGTGTTTTTTATATCGTTTGGTATATTTTTCCTATCAGAGATAAAGAAGAATTACAATCATATTGTCAGTATGTATCATCGATTTTAACAAAAGCTACAACAGACATGGTTCAAAATCGAAAATATAAACAACTCACAAATTTTCTTCAATCTATTGTTCAAAAACAACTTGGTCATTCAGAAAATAAGATATCATTTGAAATTGATTCATGTCAAGTGAGCTTATCCATTATCGCCATTTAATTGTGTAATATTCTTCGTATATTTAGATGATGACTAATTTGTTTGTTTCATTACTTCGTCAATTAATCGAAAAACTGGCCATGTTTGAAGATGAAATATTGGCACTGAAAAGGCATGCACAAGTTCTAACAGATAATTTTAAATCAGCACCTCAATTAACCAGAGAAAACACATTTATTCAAAACGAGGTAGACAACGAACTCTTTACTATAATTATAGCAGATCGATATAGAGTCTTTGCTCTCATTTAAGGCAAATCAACTGGAATCATCCTCACCAGAAATTGTACCAACAAAAGACACAACATCAAGACATTCATCATCATCTTCATTTATACAAGATTCAAAGTATGTGCTCAATACACACGCAACGTTTTCATTGAAAAAACGCTTTTTACTTAACGTGACTAATAGTCAGATTCTTTCTGTTTCATTTTCAGTTTAAGTTGAGATTTTTATGATTTCATGTAAATCTTCCTCTCTCTTATTTGAAACGCTGGTACGATTTTGTTAGTGATATTCGACAGTTGCATTGTGAAAGTGTTCAGTTGTCTGACATATTCATATGTAAATGGTACCATCTCTTTTATAACACAATTAGTCCTTACATTCGTAATTTAAAATGTCTACTAATTCGGTTTTCTCATTTTTAGACGAGATTCAATAGAGCTAACCAAGAATCGTGCTGTTTTATCAACTGTCCGCTTGGGTTCAGCGGAATATTCTGCATTTAAACCGATAAGACCCGATAGTTCAACGTCGTCTATAGTTACAAACAATTAACTTATTTGTATATTGCAAGTTTTGTGTATTTTTTTGAAGAAATTCTCAGAATTCTTTACTAACGTCTTTTTTTCTATATCAGATAGATTTAGTCATTACTAACTTTTTTATATGTATTCCATTTTTACACCAAATACTGCATTTCTAAATTAATAAATCGAAGCGCTTTTGCTAAAAAATCGCTTGTACCTCGGCGGTATCTCGCGCATAAAAGATGACGAAGTCAAATTTAGTTTTGACAAATGTTCACGATATAATTTACATAAAATATGCATAGCCGTTGTCCCTTTTAAATTGTTACTCTGAATTTATCCCATTTACATCTACTCGTCTTTAACATGAGAAACGAGAGAGCCTTCGTTTCCATAAGTTTATTGATGTCAAGGACACTCAGTTCAGGGTTGGAACCGGTCTAAATATTAGAGGCTGGGACGGGTCGGCCGCTTCAAAACAGCAGACCGGACCGGACCGGGCGGTTTTTAAGAAATTTATAGACCGCTGAAAAACCGGCAAAAAACTCTTTTTTTGCAATTAATGAGATATCATTTTTCCAAATATCATGATTTGCTTTCTCATTTTCGACTAAGAAGTAAGATTTTAAATTAATTCTTTTTTGAATTTCAATATTAGTCAGAGAATCAGGGTCGATCATTGTTAGGATAAAAGTTTGCTTTTTGATTTGAGGGGGTAAATTCTGTTCTTTTATTTTATTTGATATTTAAGACAAATGGCTTAACATACAAAAACCTATAATTAAAATAAGAACAAACCAGACTATTTTCTTTTTTTCTTACTTAGTCATCTTTCTCAGTCTTAGTCTTTGATAGTGATACAGAAAACATCATATCACCGGAAGAAAAAAAATAAAGTTGGTTTAGAGTTGTTGAAAAGTGATTTTTCGTATTCAGCCCACTCGATAACTCAGAAGATTTTCTATTTTTGACTCGGGGTACTTCCGAAAGTTTAAGAAAAATTTTGAAACAAAATGGCACAAGAAAAGTTTTCCATGGAAAAATAATACTAATTTGAAAATTTGTCCTAAACTTTCGGAAGTACTCCGAGTCAAAAATAGAAAATCTTCTGGGTTATCGAGTGTGCTGAATACGAAAAACCACTTTTCGGCAGCTCTAAACGAACTTTATTTTTTTTCCGGTGATATGTGACGGTAATAGCTATAGCTAGATAGGGATTTAATCATTTTCCGTATCACTATCAAAGAATGACTAAGAAACAAAAGAAGAAGAAAATAGTCTGGTTTGTTCTTATTTTAATTATAGGTTATTGTATGTTAAGTCATTTGTCTTAAATTTAATGTCTGAAGAAC